ATCGATTGTACCGTCTCCGATAGAGAATGCACGAGTCGTTATTACATCGATGGTATCGTCTCCGATAGAGAATGCACGAGTCGTTATTATATCGATGGTATCGTCTCCGATAAAGAATGCACGAGTCGTTATTATATCGATGGTATCGTCTCCGATAGAGAATGCACGAGTCGTTATTATATCGATGGTATCGTCTCCGATAGGATATGCACGAGTCGTTATTATATCGATGGTATCGTCTCCGATAAAGAATGCACGAGTCGTTATTATATCGATGGTATCGTCTCCGATAGAGAATGCACGAGTCGTTGTTATATCGATGGTATCGTCTCCGATAGAGAATGCACGAGTCGTTATTATATCGATGGTATAGTCTCCGATAGGATATGCACGAGTTGTTATTATATCGATGGTATCGTCTCCGATAGAGAATGCACGAGTTGTTATTATATCGATGGTATCGTCTCCGATAGAGAATGCACGAGTCGTTATTATATCGATGGTATCGTCCCTGATAGCTTACACCGGCGTCATGTCATTCGCCTACAGATTAATCCTATGAAGACATGTTCATCCTTTAGATAAACAAAACTCTGATCTATCGACAATATAACATACACCATGTAATACTTCGTTATAGTTTTTACAAGGATTTAACATTACTGCAGCACTGATTACAAAACCGAAAACTATAACTTTTCTCAGCCACCCGCCTGTTTCCCTCGTCCTCTCCCATTGGCTTCCTTAGATCATGTAAGTCAGTTGTATTCTGTAACCTTGTCAGTTACCTTAGTGATCTAAATATAATTGATAGTAGATAATGATAAGTATTTACCTATCTAAAACAGTTTTTACATATCGTGTCATATAAATATTATATAGTGTAAACTCTCGTTTTATTAACTTATCAAAGATATTTTGTTCTTAAGAGACAATGGAAGATGGAAGAATTTCATTTCGTTGCGTGAAAAAGGAGGCAGACAATTGTGTAGAGTTTTAAAAGTTTATATTTATAACTAACCCCTCTGTCAATATGGTCACAGAAAGGACAAGACATGACTCTGATTTGCATCATACAATGGTGTTTGTGTTAAGTTTATAAAATACCACAACGTCCGGATGTTGCATGTAAAACCTTCTAGCGCTAACAGAAGTTCCGAACCGGAAGTACCGCCACAGTGCAACTAGGACAGAAATACTATCTTATCACCGTTCATATACTTAGAGAGAAAAAAAAATACACACGTACACAATACACTGCAACTCAAAATTCACGAGCGTACACACGTACACAATACACTGCAACTCAAAATTCACGAGCATACACACGTACACAATACACTGCAACTCAAAATTCACGAGCATACACACGTACACAATACACTGCAACTCAAAATTCACGAGCATACACACGTACACAATACACTGCAACTCAAAATTCACGAGCGTACACACGTACACAATACACTGCAACTCAAAATTCACGAGCGTACACACGTACACAATACACTGCAACTCAAAATTCACGAGCATACACACGTACACAATACACTGCAACTCAAAATTCACGAGCATACACACGTACACAATACACTGCAACTCAAAATTCACGAGCATACACACGTACACAATACACTGCAACTCAAAATTCACGAGCGTACACACGTACACAATACACTGCAACTCAAAATTCACGAGCGTACACACGTACACAATACACTGCAACTCAAAATTCACGAGCATACACACGTACACAATACACTGCAACTCAAAATTCACGAGCGTACACACGTACACAATACACTGCAACTCAAAATTCACGAGCATACACACGTACACAATACACTGCAACTCAAAATTCACGAGCATACACACGTACACTATACACTGCAACTCAAAATTCACGAGCATGCACACGTACACAATACACTGCAACTCAAAATTCACGAGCGTACACACGTACACAATACACTGCAACTCAAAATTCACGAGCGTACACACGTACACAATACACTGCAACTCAAAATTCACGAGCATACACACGTACACAATACACTGCAACTCAAAATTCACGAGCGTACACACGTACACAATACACTGCAACTCAAAATTCAAAAATTAAAAGTTTACGTTATGGTTTGGATGGATATTACCCGAATTAATCACCAACGCAGCTATTTGATGAAAATGGTACTGAAACCATAATATTTCATTTAATTTATACTTCTAATGGCAACCCTGATGAATTGTAGTAGGAACGGCAATGGCCTATCTGCCAGTTCTTAAAGGGACAATTTTACTGCACCGTGCGGGAAATAGTTCCGACTCTACGAGTAATATTGGAGGCAGCAGATGCGCTCTTTTCTCGTCTGAGTCACTAAACGAGGATAAGGATGAAAATTCAGGCTCGTGTGCTTCATTTAAGAGATTTATTGTACGACAGGTTGATAATCCCTTTCCTTAAACCGGAAGTGCTCTATACGCATGGCAGAACACGCCGTTACACTAGGCTATGTCGACCATTACTTTTATATTACACCATTAGGGCTTTACGGACTTATTATATCGAGAACCTGGAGTCATGAAATGTGTACGATGTTAGATGATACCTTGTCCTGTTGACCCAGAAGTTAAGCCAGCAATGTCAAACAGGCAACTGATGTACATACCGTAAAAAGCCGTAATTTCAAAACTAGCGATAATGTCATGCTTATTGATTTTTCAACTCGAATCCTTCGCTTCCTTCTGCAATGTGAATACTCAGATAAGCTGTTTTTCTCGAGCGAAGTAGGTTGAAGTTTATCTAGAAGCTGGAAAGGCTGATTTTGTGATTGACATGAATTATGCATGAAAAGCACGGTTTTTATTCCACGTTCCGTCAAATAACATATAAATTACGGACAATCTGAATATCTTAAATCCATGTATATGGACAAGTCTCGAGTCTTCAATTGCATCATAACAGGATGGTTATATACATATAAATGTTTGAAAAGTCGAAGAAGTCACTTACTTGGCTTTTGGATTCACAACCACGTGCTTGTCTAACGGAGGTCCGTGACTTACACAATGAAAGCAAGCACTTGCCTCTATCGCCTCCAATGTTAACAATAAAAACCAACCAAGTTTATCGACATATCAACAGACTCTTAATCTAAACTAAAAAATCCGACACTAAGGCAAAACATGAACAAAGAACATTTTACTGTGGCATCCATGAAAAAATACCACGAGAATAAGGACTTGTGTTCCGGAAGGTTAAGCGTCTGATGCTTCACTGACCATATCCGCCATGAAAAACCTTGATCAATCCAAGTAAGTTTGGTACGATTCCAAATGAGTACATGATAAACAATAAAAGAACCGACTGGCAAACTAACGACATCAAATACTGCCAACTTCATATCGCACAAGGAAACAGAATACATCTGTTCGCCATGACAGACCAAACCGGTATGAAGAGACAGATTCTATGAAACCAATAACGCGACTTGTAGTGTACCGGTCAATCGCTTACGCTGAAAGAACAGGTATAATGCAGTGTAGTGTTAGGAAGTATAAGGAAACGTTTTCGGCGACATTTCTATAAATATATACACGTGTGACGTCAATCGCAATTTCCCGATTGGAATTTATTTTTGTATTGCACACGAGTTGATAACTTGTTTTAGTGAAACGTCGATTGGTCCTTTTAACAATTATTATCGTCCAATGGAACGTTTTCCTTTCTTAGAACGGACAAGCTGATGCCATGTGATGCGTTTTTAATTTGTTGATTTTGTCTTCTGATGAACTTCAAGTTTTTTTGTGGTTCGTTTCGACCTTCCTGTCTTGTCCAAGGGGACATTCAGCCCCGAGAACACTTTAGCTTTCAGAACACAAGAGTGAAGCTGCTAAATCGTGTACTTTTCAGGTCTTTAGTTTAGAACAAAACATCCAACCGACAACAGGAATGTAGCAAGGTAATACATCATTCAGTGTCAGAAAAACGTTTTAAAGTGCATTTAGTTTGTTTTGAAAACTTGTTTTTGTTTATTCATATATTGGAACGATAGGAAAGATGCTCCAGCTAATTAGACGGTAATTTGCTATTTAAAAATTGGTTATTTCTGTACATCGGGTGATTAAGTGTGGTAGGTAATGCAGTATCAGAATACATGTTCTCAAATTTAGGTAATTAGTTGACTAGCATTCAAACTTGCACACTTACAGCATCGCGCCAGAAAAAAACGTGAACACGGTATTTAGAGAGCCTCTCATACCAAACAGCGATGTTCGAGATGAACTTGGAGGAAACCTCGAACAAAGACGTTTTCAGATTCCTTGTATTAAATATTTTCCAAAATCAGATTTCTACAATTTCAAAATGTGAGTGCTCGCTTTAAAGTAGCCACAGATATAATATTCTTTCCGTGGTCGTTATTTCAGAGGAGTTCTTACTTTTAACATTTTCGAGAAGATGGAATCAAATTTAACTAACAAAGAGAACCATAGTCCGGTTTATGACTTCCGAGAAAAATAGAACCTCTTGTTTACAACTATTGATATAACCAAGAAAATTTCAGACATCGAAAAATACATTTTGAAGTAGTCGTTTGTATCTACTCGGACACGGTCTCAAACCGAAACATGTTGGCACCGAATAAATTAATTATTTATGCTTTCAATCCGAAACTGGACATTGTAAACCCGATAGCTAGACATTGTAAAGCCATACATTGGTAAACTCAGAACTAGACATTGTAAATCCGGAACTAGACATTAGAAATACGGAACTAGACATGTAAACATGGAACCAGACATTGTAAATCCTGAACTAGACATTAAAATTCCGGAACTAGACATTGTAAACCCGGAAATAGACATTGTAAACCCATACATGGTAAACTCAGAACTAGACATTAGAAATCCGGAACTAGACATTAGAAATCTGAAACTAGACATTGCAAACCCGGAACTAGACATTGTAAACCCGATAGCTAGACATTGTAATCCCATACATGGTAAACTCAGAACTAGACATTGTAAATCCAGAACTAGACATTAGAAATCCGGAACTAGGCATTGTAAATCCGGATCTAAACATTGTAAACGCGGAAGTAGACATTAGAAATCCGGAACTGGACATTGTAAACCCGGAACTAGACATTAGAAATCCGGAACTGGACATTGTAAACATGGAACTAGACATTGTAAATCCAGAACTAGACATTAGAAATCCGGAACTGGACATTGTAAACCCGGAACTAGACATTAGAAATCCGGAACTGGACATTAGAAATCCGAAACTAGGCATTAGAAATCCGGAACTAAACATTGTAAACCCGGAACTAGACATTAGAAATCCGGAACTGGACATTGTAAACCCGGAACTAGACATTAGAAATCCGGAACTGGACATTGTAAACCCGGAACTAGATATTAGAAATCCGGAACTGGACATTAGAAATCCGAAACTAGGCATTAGAAATCCGGAACTAAACATTGTAAACCCGGAACTAGACATTAGAAATCCGGAACTGGACATTGTAAACCCGGAACTAGACATTAGAAATCCGGAACTGGACATTGTAAACCCGGAACTAGATATTAGAAATCCGGAACTGGACATTGTAAACATGGAACTAGACATTAGAAATCCGGAACTGGACATTGTAAACATGGAACTAGACATTGTAAATCCAGAACTAGACATTAGAAATCCGAAACTAGGCATTAGAAATCCGGAACTAAACATTGTAAATCGGGAACTATACATTGTAAATCCGGAACTAGACATTAGAAATCCGAAACTAGGCATTAGAAATCCGGAACTAAACATTGTAAATCGGGAACTATACATTGTAAATCCGGAACTAGACATTAGAAATCCGGAAGTAGACATTAGAAATCCGGAACTATACATTGTAAACCAGGAACTAGACATTAGAAATCCGGAACCAGACATTGTTAGCCCAGAACAAGACATTGGAAATCCGGAACTAGAAATTGTAAACATGGAACTAGACATTGTAACTCTATATGGATGATAATGTCGTATGGCAGTAACTAATTATACAAAGTTTTTTCTGTCCGCGACCATCATATTTAACATCATCATCTCCCGAAGCATGTTGTACACTCACCAATAAACCTCGAATGGACCTATATTAAGCAGTCTGCTCGTCTTATTATGACATACCGCTTGTTTGCTGCGCGTACAAACGTTGCACGAAGACACGAAAGTCGTTTTCTCCTATTTTCCTATACAATGCACTCTCATATTGCTTCAGTAAGTTTGTGAGGCCAGGTTGTAATTCAGCTTTACAAAGGGTGAGTTCCAGTTTTCGCTGATTTAATGAATATGGAAACAAAGTTTTTAAAGAGAAATAAAACAATGGTTAATTATTAGACGTAATGATAAACGCTGTGTCAGACACGACTCCGAACTTATAATGTTTTACCCTTACAACTGATAGTAAAATTTTCACGTGCGAAAATGATCCAGTTATTCAAAACCGGTTGCAAAATCATTTTAAACAAAACAAACCCTAGATTTATTACCTTCGGGATGAAAAAAAATATGAAATATAACTATGTCTTGTACAGAATTTGGTTGGCAACATAAATCAATACGAGAAAAGATTAATTCAAACATTTTAACTTCAATATTTCAGTATTATAGGCTGATTACAGTAAATACCTTAATATTTCAGGTTCGTTTCCATTACACCTTGTCTCTCTTGAATAGACTTGCTTTTAGACACGTACATCACGAGATAGACTTGAGATTTGAAGGAAAATCGTAACTTATAGCTGCAGGATGCTGTATGACTCTGTTGGAGGGTGAGGTAGTCTATAGGTTTGTACTAAAAGGGAGAATAACCTAATGGAGAAATAACCTTAAATCGGGAAAACATATCCAGGAGTGTTTACCGGAAGTATATTTACCACGTGACTGCCAAATCACGTGATAATCCTTTTGCCATCTTATCTATGCAAAGTCTTAGAAATACGTGATGACTCCAATACAAAATAGAAATAGTTGGTGTAACAACACAAAGGCAGTTTCTTTTCACAGGTTATGACAGTGTAAAAGCAGAGAAAGGGTTCTAGGCGGTTCGTTATTCATACCTTATGTGGCGAGATTTAGCTTGACAACCGTCGCTATTCAAAACGTGGAAGTTCCAAGGGAAGATGGTGTACACGTAATTTGTGTCTTTGTTGGCGAAAATCGATCTGTTCCGACAGCTCTGACGTCACGTGATAGTTTTGGGACATGACAGATTCCATACGGGACAATACCGCGCAAATCCTACATATACAAATTCATCAAAGTTCCGACAATGTCTTCGAATGTCCCCCGACATATGTTCACATTGTCCCATTACAACGCAGGAGGACACATAAGATAGATGACATCGCTCGGGATCTATCCGACGTTTGTCACATAGTTGATCAGGTCTGTCGGAGGTTTGTCATTTAGGTGATAAATCTACAATCTTGCCCAATACCTCTGAGATTTCTTTGGGATATAATGGCTGTTCAGCATCCGATCAGTTACCCTCACTCTTTGCGATACTTGGTGTGGCAGAGATAGGGGAGTATACCGTGTACACAATAAATATAGCTTGTTGTTAGAGAGACGCTTTCAACTTGATTTGGACACTTGGGAGAATAATTATTCATCACGTGTTTCAAACTGAAGGGTAAGGCGTATTTTATAGTGGGCGTGGTGGTGGTGATTTGTTTTCTATGTTTATGTATACCATTGTATAGCAACATTTTTGTGTAACTTTATCAGAGGCAGATGTGTATTACTAGCTCGTGAACTGCCAACAAACCAAGGGATATTGAAAGTAACGTAATTAAAACTGAATTTCCCCTTTATAATCAGATAAGAATAGAAGATGAGAAGCAAAAGCATTTAACTGGTTCAGGTTGACATCCGTGGTAAATATGATAAGTATTTAACTGGTTCAGGTTGACATCCGTGGTAAATATGATAAGTATTGAACTGGTTCAGGGTGACATCCGTGGTAAATATGATAAGTATTTAACTGGTTCAGGTTGACATCCGTGGTAAATATGATAAGTATTGAACTGGTTCAGGGTGACATCCGTGGTAAATATGATAAGTATTAAACTGGTTCAGGGTGACATACGTGGTATAGATGATAAGTATTGAACTGGTTCAGGGTGACATCCGTGGTAAATATGATAAGTACTGAACTGGTTCAGGGTGACATCCGTGGTATATATGATAATTATTGAACTGGATCAGGGTGACATCCGTGGTAAATATGATAAGTATTGAACTGGTTCAGGGTGACATCCGTGGTATATATGATAAGTACTGAACTGGTTCAGGGTGACATCCGTGGTATATATGATAATTATTGAACTGGATCAGGGTGACATCCGTGGTAAATATGATAAGTATTGAACTGGTTCAGGGTGACATCCGTGGTATATATGATAAATATTGAACTGGTTCAGGGTGACATCCATGGTATATATAAGTATTGAACTGGTTCAGGATGACATCTGTGGTAAATATAATAAGTATTGAACTGGTTCAGGATGATATCCGTGGTATATATAAGTATTGAACTGGTTCAAGGTGACATCTGTGGTAAATATAATAAGTATTGAACTGGTTCAGAGTGACATCCATGGTATATATGATGAGTATTGAACTGGTTCAGAGTGACAACCGTGGTATATATGATAAATATTGAACTGGTTCAGAGTGACAACCGTGGTATATATGATAAGTATTGAACTGGTTCAGAGTGACATCCATGGTATATATGAGTATTGGACTGGCTCAGAATGACAACCGTTGTATATATGATAAGTATTTAACTGGTTCAGAGTGACATCCATGGTATATATAAGTATTGAACTGGTTCAGGATGACAACCGTGGTATATATGATAAATATTGAACTGGTTCAGAGTGACATCCATGGTATATATGATGAGTATTGAACTGGTTCAGAGTGACAACCGTGGTATATATGATAAGTATTGAACTGGTTCAGAGTGACATCCATGGTATATATGAGTATTGGACTGGCTCAGAATGACAACCGTGGTATATATGATAAATATTGAACTGGTTCAGAGTGACATCCATGGTATATATGAATGTTAATTGGATAAAGACAAAATGAACGTGAAGCGCTGTGTTTACAGTCCTAAATTTGTCCTCATCCAATTAGCATTCATAATGTCTATGAATGTGAAATGAAAATGGTTCTAGCTTGTTATCTATTGATCCACAAACATAAGCACACATGTCGTTATTGGTGCGTATACAAAATCAAAATTAAAATCAAGACTGTGGTCCATATTGATTGAGCTAAAGCGAAAAGTTCGGTAAATTACTTAAACCTATTTGATTATATATATATATATACTTAGATATATATTTCAATCGTTTTTTTAAATAAATGTTTTGTCTAAAAACGTTTGGTACTAGTATGTGTCAATAATTCAAGCGTATTACATGCGGCATGCAATATGGCGTTCATCATGTAGCACCGACATGGTGATCATCTTACCCATGATACACCGCGAAACTAACCTTTTCTCGATTGAATCGTTACTAAATCTACTGACTATATAAAAGTAATAAAACACGATATATCATATTCATACTCCTCACTTAAAGATAAATTATAACAAGTATCACAAACGTTAAGATGGCTGGATGGGGCACCACAGCTTCTGCTGAAGACATGCTTTATCTAATAACACTGTCCCTTATAAGGATTGAAGTGTCCATCGTGATAACTAGGTAAATTCTGACAGAGACGAATCAATTCTGATAGCTAGGTAAATTCTGACAGAGACGAATCAATTCTGATAGCTAGGTAAATTCTGACAGAGACGAATCAATTCTGATAGCTAGGTAAATTCTGACAGAGACGAATCAATTCTGATAGCTAGGTAAATTCTGACAGAGACGAACATTTGAATAATGCAGACTTCATCATAACTTCAGCGTGTGGAGAGTGTGTAAGTACACCATTATTTCCTCTGAACTTTTAGGTATAACTGATGAAGTTAACGGTCCTCGAACTTCGCCCGAATCACCCATTTCTGTAGATAAGGTTTTAGTTGAAATCCTAATCAGGCTACCACATAAGCTATAAAATATTTATCAAACCAAGTCTAAATAAAAATGTATGTAATTTTTTTTATATGCTGAACGTGATGTAGACATTTTTGTCAGATACCAAAAAAATCCTATGACGGTCAATAATCAATAATAAAACAGGACAAATTTGCAAAATGTAGATAAATTATCCAAACCCTGATTTACAAAAGTTATAGATATTAGTTAATATTATAAGTACCTATTACAGGTTGCGGGGTAGACCCAGACTCGCTGTACGTGTGTATTGTACATTTGTGCAATCGAACCTTTATAACGATTCCATAGTAATGTACAGTGGTACGCTAACAAATCGATTTCACGGTGATTAATTTAATTCATAATTTGAAATTTGTCAGGTTTTGTGTACTTTTCAAAAACTAATAATTCGCAAGCCTCTCTGCATGTTGACTATAGAGAATTATTGCTGCTGGTCAAACATAGAGTTAAGTCTGTATCAGTCAGTATACCATTCTAAATACAAATTCAGTCCCTGTTAGGAATTCGGACCTATCATAACGGTATAATTTACCTGCAATACTTTTGTTTGTTTTTTTTTGTTTTTGTTTTTTCCAAATTTTTGCTTATGTGTAAAATATTAGTCGTGAAATCCCTTATTTAAAGACGTGTTTTTCTCATGGTACATCAGAATTTATTCAAAGACGTCCCCAATGTACAGGGAAATATAGCAGTAGGATATGTTGTTGGTAGAACTGCTCGTCTCGCCACAAAGTGTGAAGAGTAATTATATGTTCTGAATTCTGGTCGAATTGTCTTGTTCAGTTGAAGTTACCTATAATGCTTTTATGATGATTAAAGAACGGTTTCCCGAAAATTAGTTTGACTTTTGTATAACAGTATTTAATTATAATGTGTTCTTGTTTTT